TTCTTTGGCCTTTTTATATTAACTGGAATCATTTTTGTACAATACACAAAACAGCTCACTGGAATTTTGATTTGTTTTTTATTGATCCTATAGGTCAAAATGGAAACAATTAGCATCTTAACAATATGTAATATGAGCGTGAGGTATCTTTCTTCTTATTTTTAGAGCTTTTCTGTTGTCTGCATTGAGATCCTGCATATTTTCTTTTCTTTTTTTAAAGTAAAACTAATAACTTTTATTATTTGTTTGTGTTTTCAAGCAGCCACTTTATTAACACTTAAGGTTGAAGTATTATGGGTAACTATACTCACCTTAGTGGACTGATGAATGGCTATATCCATTAATGCATTAGCTACCACTATAAACATCAAAACATTTCACCTCAAGAGACTTCCAGATCCAGACCATCTATTCTCATTCCTGGCCTCAGGAAACTACTGGTCTGACAACTGTCACTCTAGACTAAGTCTGTCTTCTTTGTGGCATGACTAGACATGCTGCTTCTTTTTTCTTGCGGGTTACGGATGGATTGTCCCTGCACATGTTTTCTTAGGTATATGCTCAAGTTTTTCTGCTGATGGTAGATCTCACCTGGGATTATCCCTATTCACCTACCTCTGTGATTTTAAGGTGGTGGGTTCCTGTGTCTCCAATTCTCTGACAGGTTCAGTAGCTTTTGATGCTGTTTGCTCAAGTGGTTTTTGGCTTTTTTTTTTTTTTTTCCTGTTGTTATAAGATTGGGAGCAATGACTTCTACAGTTTTTATGTGCTGGAGTAGAAACTGGCTCCCTTTCTTATTTCTCTACAGTCTGTTATCTTAAATATCAGGAAAATGAGGTTCACTGTGATTCCATGAGTGGCTAGAACCTTTCAGCTCCTTAGCAAGCCAGCGGTGTTCCTCTTCATCACCCTCCCTCCAGTTCCAATGAGTACATCTCATAAAATTAGCCCAGGAAAATGTTATGTAAACAAGCATGCTGGAGTAGAAGGGTGTGGCAAGGGGGGGGCACATGTACACATGTATTTATTAAAAAAAACACATCAAAATGCTCTAATGTAAACTGCAGATCAATGACCAATGAGTCACTTTAGCTTTACAAAAACATCTAGAGAATTCTTCCATTAGCAGACTGCTTTAGTAGTACATGTTTATGTATGTATATAAATGTTAGACAAATTATCTGTTGTGCATGTTCAAAGTCAACTAATGGCTCTGAACCATTTAGTCCCCATGCTAGAAATTCTGGTAGAAATGTTTCTAAGCCATACCACTGTGAGGCGGGTCCTTAGTGTGTCTGTTGTATAGAGAAGAGAACCATGACTTAGGGATATTTAAGGAGCTTGCTCTTGATGTGGGAATAAATGACTAGTGAGGGACGCTGGATCCTAGTTTTCTTTCCAATTATTTATAATGAATTAATTATACTGCTTTGGCCAATATGTTTAAATTCTATGAACTACATTGTACAAAGTGGAATTAAAGATTAAGTACCACCCACATATAACTGGACTAATGTTCAAAAGGCTCATATCATAGCTATAATAGTAATTCAGGAAGTTTATATCATTATTAAAGTGATTATAATAATTATTATAGTGTGATATAGCAATTATAATCATATATGCTGTATATTGATGTACTACTAACATATTGGTGGCGGTTAAGCAGCAAATTATGGCAATAGACTTTACAATATGGCCCTTTATTATATTACATTGTAGAGTATATGGCCTTTTGTTATATTATACTGTAGGTGATGTGACCCTTGCAATGTTGTGGAAGAGCTAGAAACCTCACAAATCTTATAAATGAGTTCAAGGCTCTCAGTAGCTGATGGGAGATGTTATTCTGTATATGTTTTTCTTATTGGTTGATGCATAAAACACTGTTGGCCAAAATAGGCGGGTCTAAGAGATGAGGAGAATTCTGAGAAACATAGTCAGAGTCAGACTCCATGTGAGACCGTAAAGGATTAAGAGGTCCGGTCTTTCTCTGATAAGATAAGACCACGTGGAAATACTTAGATTAACAGAAATGGGTTAATAATTAAGATAGAGATAGCCAATAAGAAGCCCAAGCCACCAGCTAACAGTTTCATAATTAATATAGTGTCTGTGTGTTCATTTGGGGTTGATGCTTCTGTGGGACCAGGCTGGTGGGAAATTTTGTAACAAGTAGCCCTGGCAGATACCACATGATCTCAGGTGTCCATAGAAAATACGCAGAAACTAGGCTCTCTCTGGGTAGCTATTTAGGATACCAAACTGTAGGCTTAAGATATTAACTCAAATAATATATTCAGTCCTGGTTTCCCCAATATAGTTCATTTAATGCATAATTTAAAAAGCAGAGTCTCAACAAGATATGGGTGCTTCATGAAGTACTTCCAGTTCTGGTGGTGACACATGCCACCAGAGTCATGCTGCCTTATGCTCTGGAAATGAATTTCCAAGATGAGACTTAAAGCACAGAGCAATCAGGGCTACATGTGGAAAAGCCAGGCCTCACCACTCAATGTTCCCATGAGTGACAGCATCATTGGAGACATGCAGGGGAAACAGCCACTTGATTTGCTCCTTTGGGACAATGCCATTAAGGGACCAATGGCCTACTTAGCTTCTAAGCTAACCCAACAGAGCATGGCCATAAAGAGACCTGGCTCTGCACATGATAACAGTCAGGGCCCCTTCAATCAAGGCCCCCAGCTCTGTGAAGAGTAAGACAGGACTGCCCCAAGAGAGGACATGGTCTCAGCCACTTGGTCATCTCCATGGTGAGCCTTAGAACTTCAGAGCCCCTTCGGGTTGACATAAAGTAAGAGAGCTGTGTGAAAGAAATCAGAAATCCTCAACCTTAGGGAGCAAAAGTGGGGTGTCTGAGGGGTTCTAAGTTCATCCCAGAGCACAGGCATCTCAAGTGTCCAAATCAGCAACATGAATGAGAGAAGATAGTTCAGAGAGCCCACCTCGACCCAGAGAAGACCAGAAATGCCAGTAGACACAAGTCCCCCAAGAGATGCTGACTGTTAGGTAGCCATACTTGGGTCATGACATCAGTAAGAGCTTCATACTTGCTGCTGTACTGACATACATCCTCAGAGATGGCAGAGTCCTGGGCATTTGCCACCACAAAACTCAATGGATAAAACCATCAAAGGAAACAGGGTAACAGACAATTGGCTCATATGACCTGTTTCCTCTCAAGGGCAGGGAACTAACACCCCACTGGTGCAGAAACAAAATTACTCTGTGTAGCTAATTTCAGAGATAGTTGTCAAGTATAGAGAAAGGACAGAGAGAGGGCTCAGTGGTTTGGAGCACTTGATTTTGCAGAGGACCCAGGTTTGATTTCCAGCATTCACAAGGCATCTCACAATCATCGATAACTCCAGTACCAGAGAATATGATGCCCTCTTCTGGCTTATTCTGGCACTGCACTCATGTGATGTGCAGGAAAACACGCAGGACACATAAAATAAGTAAAAAAAAAAATTAACAAAACAAAGATGGAATGGAGCACTGAGTGATTTTTTTTTTTTTAGGTCTTCAGGCTCCTTTTTGCATGAGAATTCAGAAGTGCCATCTTAGGTTTTTCCATTTTACCTGGGGTGAGAGGCAAGATAGAGTTCTTTGTGATGCAGACCGTGGATAACTAGTGATATTTGATTGTAGTTTCATCTATTTAAAACTTATTCAAGTGCAGTTCAAGGGGTGGTTTTTGTTATTATGTTTTCATTTACTCTTGAGAAGTTCACAGAGGTGTACAATGCTATCTCCACTTCCCTCTAACTCCTCTGAATCTCCTCCCATACCCCTATTTCATGTCCTTTATTAGACAGAAAAGACAAAAACCCAAACCAACTGGGTCCATTTATAACTGCCCATATCCTCACCATGGAAAGCAGGTCACAGGAACATGGCTAATCTACCAGAGGCCAAGGAGGTGAGCTTTTTTAAATTAACAAGGTAATGATGCCAAACTATTCTGATGGGTTTGTTTACATAACAAAATAAAGCAAGAATTTCTTCTCTTATCAACATATTAAAATTGCTGAAATTTAAATAGTATATCATACTGAAAATTCCTCTAGACCCTGACTTCACAGGAAGTAATGTTTATGGTGGGAAAATAAATAAAACACTGGTCTAAGACAGCCCTGTATCTTTCACAGGCAAGTCTTTTATAAAAGGCAGTGCAAGGCTCATTCCCATAGAAAGCATCCACAGAGGATCTGCCCCCTCACCCTGATTCTGCATTCAGGACACATCTGAATGTAAACCAGGGGTTTTCTAAGTGTGGTCTCAGGAAAACCAGCACCAGAAATACCTGTGAACTTGGTTCCAGTTGAATCAGAGACTGACAGTGGGGCCTCGGGAACTGACCAACAAAGCCATCCAGAGAATTCTGACGTACCTTAGGCCACAGGGATGTTGAGGTTCGGTGGGCATGCTCCAGTGGGACTGGGCTGCAGGAAGGATATCCTGGTCTGGGTTACACACATCCATGGAAATGCAAACCATTTGTGGCAAGATGACTGCCAGCAATGTCTGTTGCTATTACTTACCTTTGGCAAAATAACACGAAGCAGCTTCAACTATTGATTTCTGCTCTCCTAAGCCTCATTTTCTAAGCTTTTGGCAGATGTTGTTCATGCATGAAGGGAAAAATGGTGGTTAAGTTAGGGATTCTCACCTTGGCCTTAGAGACATTTAATTTGGTAATTTTTGTTGTAGGAGTTGGCCCGCGTGGTGGAAGTTTACCAGCATCCCCTGCTTCTTCCCACTGGACACAGGGAGCACTCCCTCTCTTTCCACACCGTCCCCCTAGTCAGGTCTGGACAAACAGAAGCCTTTCTAGACACTGCCAGGGGCCTCTGCAGAGCAAAAGTGTACTTGGCTGGGAGACACTGACCGAAGCCATTGCAGTTCTAGTCCACATAGGAGGAACGTGGCAGCCAGAGGACAGTGGAGCTGGCAGCCTGGGGGGGGGGGGGACTCACGCTGTATGAGCGGCTGTGCCTCTGTCTCCCCTGCACCAGCATCGCCTGCACGGTGATCAGGGCAGAGAAGATCAAGATCGTCTCCACTCTGGAGGCCCCGTGGTCCTGGTGCATCTGAAGCATCTTCTCCTACTTCAGGCTGCATCTGACACACAGGCCACGGAAAAGGCCCTAACTAGCCTTTGTGTCTGGCAAAACATCAACACTACCCTGGCCCATAAGAGAATGAGGATTTCAAATGTAGGTGGTGGTAAGCTTCGATGAGAGTTTTTCTTGGCTTCTTCCTTTCCTTTGGGATTGGGGGAAGGAGCAACAAAACCAACCCCCACCCCAGTCCTTTGCTTTCATGTGTGACTTTGACCAAGTAGGCAGAGAAGACTTTGGCTCCAGTTGGTTCCAGATCAACCACTTCATTGTCTCATAACACTGAGAAGATCATCTGTCATCAGACATAAGGCTACAAAAAGACTCGTAAGTTGACTTTAGTTTCTACTGTTTTTAAGCAAAAAAGTTGCCCAGCACATAGATGGTGCCTGTGCCACTGGCAGTAATGTGACCCGCAACTGAGAGACTGATTGCATAAACTATTATATTAATACAAACATTATAGGGAGAAAAACAGGTTTAAGTATTTTCTTGGACAGGCACAGTCAGATGATAAATGGGTTTCAGTTTTAGCTGGACACTCTGTTTGCACCATGATAAATGACATCACTAAACTAGCATGCCATCTGATGTGTGACCTTGAAGAGATTCTAGAGCAAGTGTTCTTAACCTTGACTGGAAGTTGGATTATTAGAGAGCTATGGAAAGTTCTGGTGCCCAAGCTGCATCCCAGATGGCTTAAGTGACAAATAAGGGGCATTGAGAGCTGAATCACACATAGAAAGCCCAATCCCTAGTTCTTCAGCCTGCTAGAATTCAAGCATTAGAGATACAACCCATGCCACCTCCACTTGTCAGCCCAGCCTTAACAACACTTTGATCTTGGCCCTTTAGCCTTTAGAAATACCAGGAAATCAGTGTTTGTTGCTTAAATCCTCTCATCTTTATGGTAGCCCTAGCAAAGTAATGTAGATTTCCAGGATAGAAATTTATCTTTTAAAAATGTAATCAGCATAAGTTTCTTTTTAATGGTTATATAAAACTAACTGTATTTTAATGGGGTATGTTGTGATCTTTACATACATGCATAGACTGCATAATGTTCAAAGTATCAGTAATTTTAAAAAGTTTCCACATGATTTTTTTTAACGTGATTTTAAGGGTGGTCAAGACTGGGATGGGAACCACTGGTCCAAAGGGGCGAGGGACAGACAGAGAGACAATGTGGTGTTGGGTGAGACATAGAGTCAGGGAGTGGAGAGGGAGGTAGGAGGAGGGGAAGAAAGGGGAGGGGCAAGCAGGCAGGCAGACAGGCAGACAGACGGACGGACGAGTGTCAGTCAGACCTAAAGTCAAATCAATCAGACAAGAGGAAAATGTAAATACAGGATAGCACAATGTCAATGACAGTGGGACATGCTCAGTCAGGGTACCTTTCTGCTCTGGCTGATTACCATGTGCAGTTGGCTAGCAGTGCATTCAGAATCCTGTAACCTGTGAAAGGTTCTTGTTGGGTCTGCCAACCATTTGGGGTCTCTCCTTTTCCAGCATTTCAACAGAACCTGGACGTATCCAGCACTTCAGAAAAGGGCCCCATCTAAACCCCAGGGGTGCCCCCTGCTGGAGAAGACATAGAAATGACCTTTCTGAGATAGAGTGGAGCTTGGAGATGGGCTTAGGATATCAGTATTGCAAGGGACACATATGGACTAGAACCTTCCATTTGTCAAGTGAAGAAGATGGAGTCAAATCGGGGAAATAATATGAACAAGGTTACATAGATCTGATGGAAGCCGACCACAGAAGACAAGAACGATTTCTAAAAGCTTATGAGATACATTCGCTCCTCAGAAGAAATGGGAGCAAGAAGAGGAATGACAAGAGTCTAAGAACTTAGGCCTTTTACAAACCTAAATATAAAATGAGCATTAAATATCCTGTGAAATGAACGGCCTTTCCACATAGGCCAAGAGGGGAGGACATAGGACATGTAGATTCATCTTCAATCTAAGATGGGGCTTCCATAGTTAGAAAATAAAATCTGCCTTATATATTAGTAATCTAGTGTGTGTGTGTGTGTGTGTGTGTGTGTGTATGTGTGTGTACACCTACATGCATACCCACCACATACCCCCATATTTATGTAATGAAAATGCATCTTAAGTGGGTAAACCTATACAGAAGTACTATGAAGAGCATACATTAGTATACACATGTTAGAAGTATTTCCTATTCTGAATAGGAATACATTCATAATTGATTACTATAATGCAAAAAAGGGAGGGGCTTTTTATTTTTATTTCTTTCATGTGGTACTCTCAATACCCAATGGCCCCACTATAGGTCCCAGAACACAGAGGAAACAGCGTGTAAAGAAAACCAGATGTGTCATTTGCCTAAAATAAATGAGAACTTCATAGTGCCACATTTTTAAGAACACAGAAATCTAACTTGGTGGTACTGCATGGGTCACATGGGAGAAGACACATAGAATCCACACTCTCTGGGTCTAAAATATCTTTGCTACATACACACGCTATCTTACTCCAACTCTATGTTAGGACAACTACAAATACAACCATGACTTCATCCAATTTCTCAAGCTTATTGTTAATAAAAACATACATAAAAATACTAATAACTTACTTTCATGCATCATCTGTGGAAAGCTTGGAGAGCTGGAAAACATAAAAGGACACTTATTAAAATTTCTTTATTTTCTCAACATGTAGTTTAAAACATTACATGAGAAATCCAAACTAGAAAAAAAAAAAAAAACCAAAGCCCAAAACCAGTAACATCTCCAGCACTGCAATCATTTAGGATGAAAGCAATTATAAAATAATTTGCTTACAGAATGAAAACAAAACAAACAAATGGAGAGCACAACAAAACATCAGCAATCAGGTCACTATTAATAAATATTTGATTCTTTTCCTAGGTCAGAAAACCAGATGTGTCTCTAATTCCTGTCCTTTTGTTTTGGCAAATCAATCAAGATTGTAGAGAGGGACCTCTCCAGGCAGTGCCCCTTAAGCTTCAGGGACATGGCTTGTAAATCCAGCACTCCTAAAACCCATCTGCTTGATGGTGTCTGGAATGTCGCCAGTGAGTAAACAGGATCTCCAAGTTCAAGGCTTTAGAATCAGAGCTAACTAGAAGTTGGATTTGTTTGGAGTATCTTGGTGCCTTCTAGGTAAGGAGGCATTACTGTGTAGAGTCTACATCCTTGCAGTTGAACTGGCAAGCACAGACGTTCCCAGAGCAGGATCCACCAAACACTGCTCCCAGTTACTTAAAAACTTCAAAGCAACCAGTAGAAAAACAACCTTACAGCAGCCAACTTTCTAGGCCAACAGTGTTAGAAGATACTGTTCTAAAAGCTGAAATTCCTGAAGATGGCAGAGAAGTAATTAGAATATTTGTTATACCATACTACCCACATGTTCATTTTCCTCTACATTTTCTTCAAATGGTGTAGCCAATTCTGACATGGTTCAATCTGGGATTTCCAACTCAAATGGACTCTGTATGAATGTATGCTTCTGTGCGAGGCACCAGCCATTCCCCCAGAGGAGACAGTGAGAGCTAGATGACTCTGTTCCATTTCTTAGATAGGTTTATGCAACATTTTGCTGGATGGTGTCAGGAGACAAGAGGTGGTTGGTGCAATGCTTGATTGACATCTATCTCATGGCTTCCAAGGGTGGGACCTAGATGGAGGTCACAGCAGCAGGGCTCAGGTGCCAGCTTCTAGTAATGTAGAAACTCTCAAGTAATAGCAGTGCCTACGTGTGGTGGCTTGAATAAGAATGACCCCTGAATGAGCTGGAGAGATGGTTCAGCGGTTAAGAGCACTGGCTGCTCTTCCAGAGGACCTGAATTCAATTCCCAGCACTCACATGGCAGCTCATAACTGTTATGTGATACCAATTCCAGGGGACTGGACAATCATGGCAAAACACCAGTGCACATAAAATATAAAAGATGCCCCCTGTGGGCTCATGTTACAATGTTTGGTTCCCAATTGGCAGACTATTTGGGAAGCATTAGGAGCTGTGACCTTGTGGAGTAGGTGTTTCAAAAGCCCACACCAGGCCCCACCTATCATTCTCTGCCTGCAACAAGCAGCTCTCAGCTACTGCTCCTGTGCCTGTTTGCCTGCCGCCACCATGCTTCCTGCCACGATGGCCATGGACTCACACTCTGAAACTGTAAGCACGTCCCCAGTTGAATGCTTTCTTTTATAAGCTCCCTTGGTCATTGTGTTTCTTCATAGCAACAATACTGCTCACAGAAACTAAAGTACCTTTGATAAATCCCCCTCTGCAGGTTCCTGTTTTGGAGGAGAAAACATTGAGTGGGTTGAATGGGTTTGGAGCCCAGAGCCCTGTGTCTATCCAGCACTGACTACTGTCAAACAACGAGTTCCTAGTTCTCCGGATAATGATCTCACATGAACCACTAATCTGGTGTCTGTCTCATTTCCTCCACACTAGATGATGGAATGATATAACAATTGCATGTGTCCACTTCATTAGAATAGAGTGAGCCTCAGTGAGATATTCTATGAGAGGTTTATGGGAAGGAGCTTAATCCAAAAACCAATTAGCTCAGCAAAAGTAGTATCTAAAGGACTCTCCTCCTTTTGCTGCTAGAGATCTTTTGGGTTAATGGTGCTTGATGCTAAAATTAAACTCAAATAGGGAACTGAGTATTCAATGGGGGGAACAATCTATCTGCCAATTACTAGTAATAGAGCCATGGGCATGAATGTCTGCAACCACCCACTGGACTCTGTCACTTTTAAATGGAGGGTGATAGATTGTTCTTCTGAAGTCTAGGCAAGTTGAGGATATAGAATTATATTTCAGAAATGTTTCTGTTAACTACCAGTGATGATTCCCTTAGGTAATATGATACTGAAACTATCATTTCTTAACAAAAGGTAATGGTGATGGTATAACAGTAATATTCTTAGAGACACTTTTGAAAAGTTGTTTGCTACAGTTCTCAATAGTACAACTTCCCCCCACCCCACCAGGTTGGTGCCTACTTTGGAGGCCTTGTTTTCTGAGATACTATTTGGTAAGCCTATTCGAGGTCCTAAGAGGCTGGAAATTATCTAGACACTGGAATTTGTCTAGAAGGATGAGCATACCAAGAATTAAGACTGATGCTGGCTCACCAGACTCTGAAATCCAAAACACAGAGGGTGGGCCACCAGACTCTGAAATCCATGGTACAGCCTCAATGGACATCTGAAAACTACTGGCTGAGGGACAGGAAGACAGATGAGGGACTGGAGCAGTCCAGGAGTATACCCAACTGCCTATGATAAATGAGCCACTTTGAATCAGTTTGGAAAAAGAAGGGATTGTTCAATAAATAGTTCTGTGCCAACTGTAAAGGTTTTGGTTTCTGTATTTCAAAATAAATCATATATGGATCAAGTATTTACATATAAGGATGAAACTCTTCAAAGCATTAGATGAAAATGTGGGTAAATATTTTATACATTGTGTGGTGGATCAGACATTTAGAAGTGTGATATGGAGCCCCACAATGATAAATAAAGCAAAAGAGCTGGGGTTTTCTGAGCACATAAGAATCAGATATATTACAGTTGTTTTTACTGAAAGACAAACTTGGAAAAACAGCAGTCTGAGAGGCATAAAGCTAGAAACCTAAATGTAAAAAGAGCTTTGTAGTAGATATGTATTAAAAGGACACAAAACTCCAAAGGATGGAATATGTGAGTAAGAGATTCACAAAAGAAATATAAAGGTCCAATATATTTGTGGAAAGATGTCCAAACTCACTAATAATAACCACGATTTAAAAAACAAAAGAGAATCAAGTAAAAATAAGGTCTTCCAGTGAAACATGAGAAGTCAAATGTATGCACTTGCCTCCTCTCCTTCACACGTGGCTGGGGTGGCATTGGAAGGGTTTCCAAATAAAAGGAGAAGAGAAGGGAATGTAAGCAACAATTACAGGGTTGAAAGCAGATCAATTCTGGGAAAGGTAACATGGAGTCAGGACACTGAGGGAAGCCAGCACGGGAAGGGAACTCCCTCAAGGGAAGGGGCCGCTGGAGGAGTTCCAGGACTTCTGGGGCAGGAGTGCACCTGGGACTGATAACCACAGGTTTAGCTTAGAGTTAGCCAAGGGCACGCATGGCTGGCAAAACAGAAAGAACACAACCCCTCCAGATTCCAAGCCTAGCAGGCTGTGCAGATCTGGGGTGAGTAGGTAGATTTCTAATAATTAGGAGTTTAGCATGTGGGCCTCTGTTGTGTTCTTGGCCTTGGTTTTGGGAACACAGACCTGCCTACTTGACTCAGTATTGGTGACAAGACACACTTTTCACATAGAAGATGAGAAGATTGTATTCTGTGGAAACAATCTAACCCAAGAGAAAGGACCTATAGCTGTGTACAGTTCTTATTCACCCTGAGAAAATGTTTAGCAAGTCAGCCACCATCTCTGTCTATCAACAGAGGTCTCTGTTGCAAGAGAGCATCCAAAGTCTTGTCATGTGTGTAGTGAACAGCAAAAGGCATACTGTTTGAGACAGAAGGTTCTGCACCCATAATGACAAGAATCACATAGAGATACAAACAAAATAAGATAAAGTAACAGAAATAAAACTAAATGGAAGGACTGAATACACATGAAGAAACTCAAAGAATTTAAGAAATCTTAAGAGAACAAATGTAGGGCAGAAAATAATATTAGAGAACTTGCCCAGTTTCTAGCAGAGGCAGAAAAACTTAACTTACACAAGAGAGTTGCCAGAGCCTGAAAAGTCCTCTTTTGAAAAATAAAATACTTACCAAGTGGATGAAAATATCCATACATTTGTCTTTCTTTGAAAAGAAGTCTGTAGGATCTTTAGAATGATAACATAGGTTGCTGTTTCATGGCATGTTTAGGAAAGCATACATCAAAAATAGCTGTGCCTAATATGAACCCATTTATGTATATACATGTTCATATAAAAAGACATCCAGATGACCAAGACACTCAGGATGGTTACAATAAAGACCAAGAACATCCCATAGGGATGTAGCTTGAGACAGCTGCTCTCCTTTTATATGTGTCTTCATTAACTGTGTGTCTTCATTAACATGTGTCTACATGAATAATGCTGCCTAGAAAGTCGTTTCCATTCCTCTATCTTTGTTCCCCCTGTCTGATCAGTTACCAGGACCTCTTCTTCCTGTCTCTGTACCATTGTTTGAATCTACCTCTTGCCTTCTTTGTAGTCTGGCAAATCTCACATTTGTGCTTCAGAGTCTTCTAACTGCTTCATACACACCTCTATTCATCTGTCACTCCTACTGTGAACTAATCTGACTCCAGAGGACATTACCTGCCTCCCCACCCTATCCCCACCCCAGCACAGTCACCTATTGCAGTGTCTCCAATTTCGTGCCATAGACTCATGTCCAACCTATCTAACTGCTGAAAGCGGAAACCCAGAGCCCCATTCTGGATCCTATCCTCTTGTTGACCCTATCTCAAGTATGACCTCATACATGCGTCCACTCCTTTCCATCCCTTATGGCTGTTAACCATCTTCTCATTTATTGGGTTATCCATTCAGCAGCTAAGTCTTGGTTGTGCTAGGCGCTAGGCTAAGAGATGACATACAGTGGTGAAGGAAGATAGATAAAAGTTTCCTATGTTACAGAGGAAATAATGAAGTATAGATAAGGTAGCAGTTCTCAACCCATGAGCCACCACCCCTTTAGAGGAGAATGACCCTTTCCCAGAGGTCATCTAAGACCATCAGAAAATACAGATGTTTACATTATGACTCATAACAGTAGCAAAATTACAGTTATGAAGTAGCAACAAAATAATTTTATGGTTGGCGGTCACCACAACATGAGGAACAAAGGGTCACTGAAATAAGCTGTCAAAACTGGCACCCGATGAGGTAAGCACTATGAAGAAAACAAACAGAATTTGCCGTAGATAATAAGCAACAGGAGGGAGGTACTGTCACATTTGAGCTAGGATGGCTCGGAAACATCCTGAGGACAAGATAGAGAAGGACAGTTCCAAGCTTGTCCCCACTCCCTGGAATCTCTTCTGCATCGAAGTTTAAGTGTGATCATATGAAAAGTAAACAGACAATGGCAACAGAAAGAGTTCCATGGCACTTTAGGAGAAAAGCATGCTTCAAAACCATTCTATACAGTACCTATGAGTGGTATACCACACGCTCAATCAACACACTTGAAAAGATGCTACTGTCTTCAAAAAGAAACTTAAAAGTCAAAGGGTAATGTTAGCTACAGTTCCAAGGACAGTCGGTCATGGTGAGAAGTGAAGGCACCCAGGGCTTGAAGCAGCTGGTCACATCACATCTGACAGTAAAGTGTACCTTGTATTCTCTGTTTTATACAGTCCAGGATCCCCTGCGTGGGGGAATTGTTTCTCTCATAATTAAGATGGGCCTTCCCATAGCAATTGGGATAACCCCTAGCAGGTCCATATGCCAGGTGATTTTAGATTCTATCAAATTGACAATGAACTCTAGCTATCTTTCCAAGTGACAGAGCCAGAGCAATGAACTCAGAAATTACTGAAGTCTCCTGACTACATTAGAGTCCATGGTGAGTCCCTGGTAAGAAATGTATGCTATAGGGCATTAAAAAAGTCAGACAGATAAGAGAAGATTGGGTTGCTCTAAAATGCCAGACAGAACAGGAGGCAATGCTTCAGTCATGCCTGCCTCCAAGTGTACGTTGGAGGCCATGCAAGTTGCCATCTCCTGTAGGTCCATGTGGAGAGCTACAGTTTTCATTAGACATTTCAGAGCTGGAGACAGTGACCAGGACCATCTTACCTCCAGACCGCCTCTTCCCAAGAATTTCTCTTCCTTCTTACTATTTCTGCCTTCATTTCTGGGGATGCTTTATATAGTTTTTGATTTATGTTTTCCTATTTTCGTTTTCATGGAACCCATTTGCCAGACTCAGTTCTGGATATTGGAAAGCCAGCAACTAGCAAAGGTGACCAGGAGCCGGATCTCTTGAAACTTGAATGAAATGCACAAGTAGACATGCTAACTAAAGGACGCAGGAAAAGAAAATGGGGTAAGGTTTAGAGGGGTGGGGGTTGTCACGTACAGTCTTGTCCATAGCTGCTCCAGTCTTCCTTCATGTCGCCAGCTCTTGTGAAGTTTAACTGAAGCCAACACTTAGTTTTCTAAGACCTGCTTAAATGCACACCCTCTAGTCACGCTCCCAGCCTCTTCTACCTTCTTCCCACATAAGGAGTGTCTAGTCTTCCACTCTCAGAGGGTTATTTTTGTTCTTATCTTAAGGATGCAGGCTCCAGAAGAAAAGCCCGCCTCTGATGGTATGCCTGCATCCAACCTAGTATGCATAGCGCCAGTGCCAGCCAGAGCAGAACTGTCTCATGAACAAACATAAAAAAAAAAAAGACTGGATTTTTAATACTCACCACTGGGAGGTAAAAACTAGTACAGCAGAACTCCAAACCTGAGCATCAGCAACTTCCTGGGGGTAGACAAACTAATTAATAACTAGGTTCCAACACACAGGTTTGAATCAGAACCTTGAGGCAGAGCCCAACAAGGTGCCCTTTAAAGAGTCATCAAGTAATCCAGATGCACACTCTAGATAAGATGTTCAGGGCCACCCTGGGCCACTGGGAGCTGCAGCAAGCAGGGAGGACGAAGAGGCAGCCTCCCTGGTGGATGGGGATAGATCAGGGACAGCCTGGGAGAAAGGACCAAGAGTAGGAAGAAGGCCTAGAGAAAAAGTAAGAAAGGGAGCATCTTCCAGAAGGACCCGTGACCCAGCCTCCATTCTGGGCAGGCTCACATCCCCATGGGCGGAGTCTTGGAGACCAGACCGCGCCTGGCGCTAACTAGGCAACATCCTCAGGACCCTAGAAGGTCCCTGGCCTACGCCCTACCTGTACCAGCTCCCTGCTCGAGCAGCTGGGGCACCTCCAGCTCGGCTGCCGCCCTGAGGGCCGCCATGATCGTCGCAGCGGGCGCTGGATCCCCGCAGAGAGCATAAGGCAGAGACTGCAAGGGCCGTGCCCTCGGGTCATTCGTGGGAGCCAAGCCGGTGGTGGTGGGAAGGGCGACCTGGCAGTGGCAGCTCAAGGCAGTGCCTCCTCCGGAGCGCAGGACCACCATGCACCTCTTCAGAGCAGTGCGTGTCCCCTCGCCCTCAGTACCTACGCTCCTGAGTCCTCCCAGCGTCCTTCGCCCCGCCTCGTGCTCCTCTCTGGAATCAGAGGTCACTGGGCTGGAAGAGGGTCCCGAACAGGTAGGAAGAGACGGGGGAGGGGGGGGAGTTCAGGACAAATGGATCAGAGCCGGTAGGGGGAGGAGGACGGAGTCATGAGGAGAGTAAAGGAGGAGGAAGTAGGAAGGGGGAGAAGGATGTGGCAAGGGGAAGGTTGGGGAAGAGGAGGGAGAGAGGGAAGAGGGGAGGAGAGGGGGTGAGAAAGGAAGAAGGAAGGGGTGGAGGAAGGAAAAGGAAGGAGGGAAGAGGGAAAGAGGACAAGGAGAAGAAGATAGAAGAATGAGGAGAGGAAGGCGAAAGGAACAGAGGAGAAATGAAGGCAGAAAAGGGAGGGAGAGAGGGAAAGAGGGGAGAGCAGAAGATGAGAGAGGGGGAAGAATGAGGAGGGGGAAGAGGAAGAGGAGAAAAGAGGAGGAAGGAAGAGAGAAGGCCAGAAGACTGGAAGAAGCTGAGGGGAGGGGAGGGGGAGGCAGAGAGAGGCTTCGTCCTTAGCTGTTTCCCGGAGCAGTCTATTAGAACAGTCTGAGTGGCTGCCCACATACTGAGCTTGAACTCCCATCTTGGACCTTGTTTCCTGGGCCCACTGTTCCTCCATCTTTGGTACTTCCAAAGATGACAAAGTGGAGAAATTACACAATGAAGAGTATGCAGAAATGTAGGTCCTTGGGGTAGTGTTCTAGGACCCGTAAGGTCCTTTGGGAAATCATTCACCTTCAGAAGACATCTTTCTCCTAACCCTTAGTCCTGCTCCCTACACACACTTGCTGTAAATTTACAAAAACAACAGAGAAACACAGTTAAGCCATCAAGTCTAAAGAATGTGGCTCTCTTGATCACCTACAAGTAGTTACTAGTATAGATTAAATGGGCAACTAGATGGGCACATCTCTGCCATTGGGGAACTTACTACCTAGCAGGAGGTAGGGACATATAAACGTCCAGGGACAACTTGTGAAGGTCAATGCATATGCTTGCAGCTTAGCTCTTTCAGAAAGACTATGACAATTCCCATTCTCCACTCATTCTGGTATAAGGGGTCTTGGCTGGGGCATGAAGAATTTTCTTCATGCAGCTGCTGTTGACTACCTCCAGAGATTCCCCTGGAATAAACAAGGTACCAATAGTGTCCCAGGTGAAGGGAAGAGGTTTGTGAAGGTTCGGAGGCTATAGAAGTGCAGCAAATGGAAGCGACCAAAATAAAAGCAATGGTTGACATAGAATGCTGTCTGCCAGGTGCTACACCAAGTTGTCTATAGCATCAAGTCATCCTACCCTCCCAGACAGGCATATTCTTCCCAGTTCCAAATTAAAGGATGGAGGTTCAGAAGCTTGTTAAAGTGTCTGAGGGCATACCTTGTGATACAGCACTTGTCTATCATGCAAAGCCCTTGGGTTCCATCCCAATACTGGGGGAAAATGTTCCTGACACTAACCTTAAAGTTAGTAGGAATTTGAAGCCTGAGAAGCTTGAATCCATTGCCTGGGCTCTTAACCACTCAAGGGAGTAGCTGTGAGAGTCTGTATAAGTTGTATTAAACAGTGTGGATTGTGGCCTCTGGAGAATGAAAAGGAATGTCCAGTTTTAAGTGAAGGAATTTGCTAGATTTGTCTCTTGGCTACAAGGATGGGAAGAAACAGTTAATGCTGTGACTCAGAAAGACTAATCAGAAATCACTGTAGTTTCTGCAGCAGATAACAATAGCCATCAGATGCCTGTCAGGAAGTGTGTTAGGGGGAGGGGATAGAAAGATTCAAGCAAAACTCAGAGGTTTAGGTGATGGGATCTACAAGGCCTGGCCTGTTGCTAGTGCAGCTTAGCATTTAGTTAGGGAAGTGCTGCTGTCATTACTGAGAATGGGCAAGACAGATGTGGGGCAACTGAGATCCATTAAAGCAGGTTGCATCCCTACCCTAACTTCTGGTCTGCCTTCTTGGGGCAAAGGTCAGCCCCCCCCTCATAGTGCAGAATGCCATCATATTTAATTTATCTGGATTTTCCCAAGTCAGTCAAATAATAAGACATTTCTAGATGAAAACAGGATTTTTTTTCCTATAAAGTTTGTTCAATTATCATTACTGGGTTCTGGCTTTCTGATTTGAGAGTCTCTTTCCTTGTTGGTGTCATAAATGTCTACATACTGCACTGAAGACACAGGGAGACACAAAGATGGTATCTTCTTTCTCGTTTCATTTCAACAGCCATATCATAACAAAACCCCAAAATAACTTTCCATGGTACTTCCCTGAACTTTCCATGGGGCTATGGTTTGCAAATACTGTAGTCTTCAATAACACAAGGGGTGGTTTTGAGCTGGAGTGACCTGATGGAAGTTCACTAGGTCATGGAGATTTAATGTAGTACTTCCAGTCCACTGGTTAGTTTTTGTGAGAGGAATTGTAGTGGTTTGAATAAGATGGACCCCATAGGCTTATATACTTGAGTACTTAGTCTGCAGGGCGTAGCACTATTTGAAAGTATTAGAAGGAGGAGGAGGAGGTTGTCAGAGTAGATGTGGCCTTGTAGGCGAAAATGAGAAAATGTATTACTGGGAGTGGGCTTTGAGGTTTCAAAAACCCAAGCCAGGCCAATCCCTCTTTCCCTCCCTCTCCTTTTCCCTCTCCCTCTCCATACTTTGCCTGAGGATGAGCTCTCAAGGACTCCAGCATCATGCCTGCCATGCCTGTGGCCACGCTCCGTGATGATAATAGACTAAACCTCTGAAACTGTAAGCAAGCTCCCAATTAAATGCCTTCTTTTATAAGAGTTGCCATGGTCATGGTGTCTCTTCACCGCAACAGACTGGTGGCTGAGACAACTGGTCATTATAGAAAAAGGAAGGTTGGGCCCTGAATTTCTCCGGCTTCTGGTCTCGCCATTGTGATGCCACCCACCTGAAGCCTCCTGAAGGTCCTCCTTAGAGGCTGAACTAATATGACTGCCTGATCTTGGACTTTCAGCCTTCAAAACTGTTATAGAAAGCCTCCTTTCTCTAAAAAGTACTTAGGTAGTTTGTTAAAACAAGAGGAGAGACTGGTATAGAAGATGGATTTGCAGTGTTGTTTCCCAATCAAGTAGTTTGCAGTAGACAGCATATTAAACTCTGGACTAGATGAACAATTTTTTATGTTGCTTGGTGCTAGTATCTTTAAAATATTAGATTGCCTATATACCCTCCTGTCATCCAGTATGTGATTATAATGATGTAATGGAAGAAATGAGTGAATGTGGTAGAGGTGTTGGAAAACACAGTGGAGATTAAGAATAGCTAGCTAATCTTACCATGTTTGGTGCAGGAATAGTCAGGCAGACCCATGGAACAGAATACAACCACATGTATTTTTGGGGAGCTAGTTTATGGGGAGGGAAAGACCTATCCATGTGAGCAGTGATGTTACAGCAGGGAAAGTTAAAGTTTAATGTGAGTGTGAGGAATTAGAGCTCTGGATAGGAAAGGTTACATTAAATGCGAGGCAAGGACAGACACCTCACCTTTAAGTGAAGGGCCTTGCTAGATGGCTTAGCAGCATGATGACCTGAGTTTAATCTCAGTGATTCACAGGGCTAAAGAAGAGGCGTGACTCACACAGGCTCTCTCCTGACTCAGGGTGTGCCTCATAAATAAATGAATAAATAATAAATATAACAATCTTTTTTTCTTTTTTAAAGACACAAGCTGCCTTGCCTCTTTAAGGCAATTTTAATTTATCTACCTGATAAACGTGCTAAAAATCTGCACGAAAGTCTGTCATCCCAGCTGCAAAGAAGGCTCAGGCAGGAGGAGCACAAGTTCAAGTCTCTGGGGGATACACAGTGAGTTCACACAGCCTGGCCATCTTCCTGAGATCCTGTATCACAACAGAAAGTCCACAGAGGACTGGGGGTACAAAGTAGAGCACTTGCTTGCTTAGCACGTGTAGGCTCAAGTATAAAAAACAAAACAATCAAACAGACAAAAAACCCACTAACCAAAACCCAAAGCAAATGTAGTTTTAAAAATGTCTGGTAGGAATTGGGAGAGGATACAAGCCAGTTGGTAGAAATGGAAGGTTTTGTAATTTCAAGGGCACAGTTGCATTATCATGGATGGGTATTAGTTGGGAAAACACTTGAGGAACCATTAGACTTTAAACTACTTGTTCCAGCTCCTTCCTACCCATTCTCTGCCTGTTAATTCTCCTTTCGCCTGACTTTCTGGGGTCAATCCAACTGCCTTGGGCTGACAGGTCCCTTGATGGTTAGATTTTGCAAAAGCCCTTCGTGTTATTTTACAAATAAAATTTCCTTCCATTTATTCCTTTCCTTTTTCTTTCTCTTTCTCACAGTGATGCAAAATGTGTAACTGGTTAGCATTAAGCTAATCAAGCAGTTCCAAATGAGCCAGGTGCAGCACCGGGCACTTGGAAAAGCCCAGGTGAAGTGCAGACATCTGGTGGAGCCCCTCTATGAACAGGAGATTTGGTGTCTGTTGGGGTGGGAGCATGCCATCCAAAGTCATCTAGGCAGTTAGAGTTGAAATAGCTTGTCTGGTCTCAGTTACCAGTGTGGAAGAGCACTTAGGGTTCTGGACTCTGATTCCTGGGATCCAGGGGCCAACTTGTGCTTCAGTGGGATTAATTGCCTACAGGATGGGACTCTGAAGCCAATCTCCAGTTTAGGTGAAGGAACAGCTGTATAGTCCTGATCAGGCTCAGCCCTCCATTCTGATCTCCCTCCCCCCTCTCCCAGGCTGCTCTGTGGATTGTGGATACCGTGTCGTCTTTTGGGGCAGACATTGGGCTCTTAAGAATTGGTCTGACCCCCAACCCCTGGTTCTTCATTATAGTCCCAGTTTGCCCTGAGCCATGAGCCTGACTGTACAGACCCATTGGTGCTGGTGCTGTTTTTTTT